ACCCGATTCCAATTACTAAGGCCCTTTCAGTACACCTCGGAAAAGAGGCGGAGATTAGTCTTTTTCTCAGTGTTTCGGGTTTGGGGCTTAGCGCTTCAGGGTTAGGTTTTGGGTTCGGGGTTTTGGGTTTCGGGGCTTAGGGTCTAGAGTTACACGGTTTTCAGGTAGCACGAAAAGAAGCGCGTGCATCGCCCCTTCATGTGGTCGTACCAAAACGCTCATACTCTACCCCTTTTTGGGGTACCTACTTTTCTAGAAAGCAGTCCCTGGCCATTAAACTAGCTACTTTCAATATATGGGTAGGGCATGACCCTCCAGGTATTGTTCCCATGTCTCTTAGTAGAAACCCTGAGCGCGCTCCGAGATCCTTCACTAGCTGCGAGTTTCATCCCTAGGAAAACCAAAACAGTTCAAGAGATCCGTGCCTTGTTCATGGTGGAGGTTTGAACAGTTTAGGGTTTAGGGTTTGTAGGGTTTAGAGTTTAGGGTTTAATCCTATGGTCCCGTTTAGGGTTTAGGGTTTGGGGTTAGGGTTAAACCCTATAGTCCCAATATCAGTACAGTGTATTAATTCCAAAAACTTCCACAAGCGGAGGAGATGCCCTGGATGAAGCATCCTCTTCTTCGTCCAGTCAGGGGGAGACGTGCCTTCATCGGCACTGGGTGGGTAAATTCGTAAAGGGGCTGTGTTGTTGGGATTCAGCCAGTTTTTGTCCGGAGCAAGCGCAGTTTATATTTTGCACTGAGGACCCCGAAGGGCAGCATCATGCAGATCTATACTTGTACAATAGATCTGATTTCGAAGTTGCAACAAACGTTTCACTAGACCCAAACCGCTAACCCTGAGTCGGGATATAGGTCCTTTGTCGTCAGTCAGACCATTCAGCAGCCGAACCTCCTGCAAAACCTGCTACGTTAACGTGGCAAACAACTTTCCTGAAAAGGGCTTCCAATAATCTAGAGTATTGGGGAAGTTCTTGCCCAAACACGATGCCAGGCTTTTGAACATGGGTAAGAAGATGCAGTGTTTATGCTGTTCAGATGTGGGGTTTAGGGTTTATCAGGGTTTAGAGAATAGATCTGGGGTTTTGCCAGTTATTTGAGCCCTATTTGGGGGATGATGAAACAACTTAGTAGCCAGGGTTATAACTCAGGCAGGCAGCTGTACTTATACTGACTCATAACTCCAATGCCGTCACAGCACACTTCATAAAACCCGTTGAAACCCCCACAGTACCTGCAGTCTCTATTGTAGTTCCTTCTGGGGGATTCGACTGTGGAGCCTATAAGTATAGACTTGTTTATAAACCTCCAGAAATCCCAGCAACTTGCAGCGACCTGCTTTGTTTAGGCTGAACCAGCCGGATGAGGAGCTAAACGATGCGACCTCCGAGTGTAAGCCGGGACTTTCTCCCAGGCTCTTGGGATTCGGAGCCCCAAAATCCTGCAAGGCTTAAACTTAAATTCTATAACACGAGGTTTATAGGGTTTAGGGACAAGGTGTCTTCTCAAACTTTAACTTGGCTGCCCAATACCCAACCTTTAAGCTTTTTGGGTTCTTATAACTTAGTAGTAATCTGAAAGCTTAACCTTTTATTTCCCTGGCTTATTGGCGAAGTAAGTTCAGGGTTAGCGGCTAGCGCAGGTTTCAGGGTTTGGGCGTTGGGGTTTCTTACGTCGCCTTGGTTCAAAAGGTATTTGTTCCTAGGGCTTGGCTTAGGGTTTAGGGTTTAGGGCTTGGGGAACGTTTGATGAGGGTTTTAGCAGCGGTTTGGAAAGGTTTGGCATACTGTGTCGCGGTTTTGCAAGGGTTTGCAAAGTCTACTCTAAACCCTAAACCCTAAACCCGAAACCGAGTCTATTGTGGAATTAGGCTCCAAGTATTCCTGCCGTGTTTTTTAGGTACCTCGCCCAAAGCCTTAAAGCCCGAAGCTCTGGATCATTAATCTTTAACCCTAAACCCTAAACCCTGAAATCCTCAAAGCCTGAACCCTAAGCCCTAAACCCCAAAACCCCTAAGCCCGTAAACCCCTAAACCCCTAAATCCCTAAATCCCTACACCCCTAAACCCCTAAACCCCTAAACCCCTGAACTCTGGCCCTCGAAGCCTAACACTCTTGAGCCCAATCCAAGAAGCGAAAAGCGCTCACCCTGAGGGTGCAAAGGACCAAACAATTAGGTAATATAGGCGCCTTAATAATAAGATATGGGTTTTGGGGCCCATTATACTATAATTGTAATAAGGAGCCCCCAAAATGTATTGGTATTGATTTAGGCCTGAAAGTTAACTTTTCGTTGGGTTGCGAAGTGCCATGGTGAAACCCTAATCCTTTCAACTCCGAGACTACCCATAGGCTCCAGTGTGGTTCCTTTTTGGATTACAAGGGATTACCTTATAGGACCCTAAATATAAACCATTGTAGCCTATAGGTATAGAACTCTTCAGAAACATCTAAACATCCTAAATTATGGAGCCTGTACGTAAACCCCCTTGCAAACCCTAAGCCCTCAACCCCTTTAAACCCCTGAAACTAACCCTAAAACTGTAAGCCCTAAACCCTAAACCCTAAACTTTAAGCCCTTAAGCCCTAAACCCTAAACCCTCCCTAAACCCTAAACCCCTTTAAACCCCCGAAACACCCTAAACCCTAGACACCCGCTCCGGCAGGTTTGCGCGGCCTGCTGGCCCAGCCAGGATCGGACCTTCGAGCTTTGGCGGCAGTTCTCTGTCCCCACTGTTTAGGGTTTAGGGTTTAGGCTTTCGGCTTTAGGGTTTAGGCTTTAGGGTTTAGGCTTTAGGGTTTAGGGCTTAGGGTTTAGGGTTTAGGGTTTAGGGAGTTATACCTGGAGTTATACGTCCTGTAATATGGGTTATAGCTGCAGTTTTCCTACTTCTACTTATAACTGCCCATGAACCTCCAAGTAAGGCTCCATGTACCTGTACAGGACATACTTGGGCCTTAAACTAACTATATTGGGACCCCACTTTGAACCCTAAACCCTAAACCCCCAAGTATATACTATGCAGGTACATGGAGCCTCTAAGGGCTTGTGATGTTGAAAGGTTGGTTTAGTGTTTAGGGTTTAGGGTTTTGGGGCTTGCCATCACCCCCCCAAGGCCGTCGAATAGAGCCCTTGTGGGCGTTAATAGGTTTTTAGGGTTTATGGCTTTAGGGTTTTAGGGTATATATCAGAGGGTAGTTGGAGGGGCTGGGTAGGGATTTTGGGTTTAGGGTTTTGGGTTCCTCTAAGGGTTTCAATAAAGTTAGAGCGCAGCATGGTTTGCTACAAGCAGTCGGCAGGGTCCAGGTACCTAGAGAACCCAATACCCTTTAACTAAGGAATATACCTGAAATCATAATATTAAGGCTCCCATAATTTAAGGTATATATTCCTTAATTCAGGTGTATTGGGTTCTCTGGGTACCTACATATTGCATGCTTAGGCCTCTGAGAAGCTGACATAGGTACTTGGATGGGTTAAGGGTTTAGGGTTGATCATGCAAATTCTGCACTACCTGAATTTAGGACCCTAAACAAACCCTAAACCCTAAACCCTAAACCCCTAAACCCCTAAACCATAAGCCGATGGGAATTCTGTTATATTCCTTATTTTGGGTAATGCAAGATGTATATCAACCACCGTACTACATAGGCTCATGAGCCCTCAAGAGGGAGGGCTTTCGTTTTGCCTTAAAGTGTGGAGGATGTCGAGCCCTGCCCTCCATGTGATTTGTTCAAGACTAAGCCCTAAACCCGAGAGCTTTAATATGGGTAGTTCTCTGAATTAGGGTCCCTTTTGGGGTCCTTGTTATAAGGGTGCCGTACTATATTGGGGACCTAAAAAGGGACCCTGATTTAGAGAACTACCCATATGGGGCCTTAAAATAAGTACTTATACTACTTTTAACTATAGTAGAATATACCCCCCCAAAACCCTGTTCTAGTTATTAAGGCCCCTATATCAAACATAGCCGTACACCCAAAGGGTCTTAAGTATCTATATGGCGGATAGTTACCCAAACCACGTATGCGGGGGGATAGTTGCCCAAACCATAATGGCAGTTCCTATTTCAGAAACCTTAAAGGAGGAATCTTGTGAATCGCAAAAAAGGTTTACCTGGAGGGTCATACCCTACCCCCTCTTGTTAAGGTACCTATAGCTTGATGGATGGGATCTGTTATGTAGACAAGTAGGTACCCCAAAAAGGGGTAGGGTATGAGCCTACAGGTGGACCCTAAACCCGAAGCCCTAAACCCTAAACCCGAAGCCCTATAGACCCCCTGTCAGCCCCACGAGGCCTAAACCTTGTAATGTATGGAGGTAGAGCCTAGAACCCTAAACCCTAACCCGCAAACCCGCTCGCCTTAGACTTGAGAAGGATTCCGCTCAGCAGCCGCCACCCCTTCATCGGCCGCCCACGTGTGCGAGATCCGGATCTGCTGACCCTTGTCTGTCTGGGCTCACCCCCTAAAAGTAGGGAAAAGAATGGTCTGACACCTATAACACGCTATTATTCTACATACTTTTTGGCATCTAGGTAGGGCTTTTAAACAGTCGTTTTAGATAGAGTCTACATATGGCTATGGCTGGTTGAAAGCTTTTCTGACAGGACAGCGGTGTATTGTTTTTGTTCATGCGGTTCTACAGAGTTTCGCTTTCTTTGGTTTCATAAAGTTGAGTTGTGTGTTTACGGTTTGTGGTGTTGTTTTTGTGCGTTCGGGGTTGAGAGCTCAGATCTTAGGCTGGAGGGTGTGGGGTGTAGGGCTTCACTTTGAGGTAGATTTAGGGTTTAGAGTTTTTAAAACCTCAACCCTAAACCTAAAACCAGTTACAAGGCTGCAGTAGAACTTCGTCAGGTTGGCGCGGGCATTATATGTTCGGATTCCTCGCGGCCGCAAGCGCAGTAGCACAGAACTACACTAAAGTTTCTTTGAGGGTCCTGATTCATGGGTGCAGTGCCGCGTGTGTTTGGGACCTAAATGGACCGAATTTAGAGATGAGGATGCTAGCAGGGATCCTGATCTTGTATCCCTTAAACAAACAGGCGGGTTTGTTGTGGGTCTACACTGCTTTTGGATTAGTTCGAGCAGCCTCATAAGAACAGGAACACACAGAACTTCAAGAAAAATCCCACAGACTTACCGATTAAGCCACCTGAGGGTCGAGGGCTTAATGTGTATCACTTAAATCATGTGAGGGATCCCTCTGAAGCAGCTTCCACTTATTTGATATTGGGTTCTCTGGAACCCTGCAAATGACATGTTGGACAGCCCTTTTGTAAACCCTAAACCCTAAACCCTAAACCCTAAACCCTAACTCCTATAAGCCCTGAATCCTAAACCCTGAACTCTAAACCCTAAACCCTATACGCCCAGCACGCAGGCCGGTCCCCCACCACAGCCTGCCCCCGCCCGAGCCCGCCGAACCGCCTCCACTTTGGCGCAGAAAAGCTCCGATGCCTGCAGTCTCGATTCTCAATTCTAGAAGAGCTAGGGCCAGTATTAAAATTATGGCCATGGAGTTTGAAGTGTGCTCCCTTGGAGGCCGGCGCAGGACAGCCCATGCCTGTGTCAGGCGACACGGAAACGTCCGAAGCAAACCCTAAACCCTAAACCCTAAACCCTAAACCCTAAACCCTAAACCGGGCCTTGGAGGTTTTTTGCAATGCCGCGACGGCCATCGTCCGCAAGTCTGAGGGAAGGGCCGTTGCCTCCTTGTTTCCAACGCCAGGGTTTAGGGTTTAGGGTTTAGGGTTTAGGGTTTAGGGTTTAGGGTTTAGGGTTTAGAGTAGAGCGCAACTTTAAAGTAGCCCTGAACCCTAAACCCTGAACTCAATACGAGCCCTTAAACGCCTTTCAAAAAGCACAAGGAACGCCGAGCTTCTGAAGCGAGGATGCACTGGTAGCTCATGAAGGTTTAGGGCTTAGGGCTTTAGGGTTTAGGGTTCATGGTTTTAGGGTTTAAGGGTTTAGGGTGTTGCGTAGGATTAATATAGGGGCTTAAATAATTACCTATACTATTTTGGGGTTTTCATCGTAGTTCTACTATAAAGGACCCCAAACCCTCTTCGAATAATTGAGGCCCCTATATGAAAATCTTTAGGGTTTAATTACAGGGTTTGTTTGGGGGCTTAGGGTTAAACAGGTTTGGGGTTTAGGGTGTGGGGTTTTAGGGTTTTGGGTTGAGGGTTGGGGTTTGAGCGCTAAGTCTAGGACATTTTCAGGTGGGTAGCTACCGTTATAGGAGCCTTACAGCTTACAGAAGGTCTACATACCTTATAGAAGCTTTATAGAAGCCCTATTATACCCTAAACTCCCCACCTGTAGTTGCCTTTAGCTCTACACACCTTATAGAAGCCTTATAGAAGCCCTATCTTACCCTAAACTCCCCACCTGTAGTTTCCTTTGACTAAACCC